TGAGCAACCAAGAGATAGCCAACCTATCAGATGCACAGTTCACAACACTGGTGATCAGGATGCTCACAGAACTGGTTAATTTTAGTCACAAATTAAATGAAAAAATGAAGGCTACACTAAGTGAAATGAAGGAAAATGCACAGGGAACTAATGGTGATGGACAGAAAACTGGGACTCAAATCAAGGGAGGGGACCAGAAGGAAGAAAGAAGCAACCAAATGGAAAAGAATGAAGGAATAAGAATTCAAAAAAATGAGGAGAAGTTTAGAAACCTCCAGAACATCTTTAAATGTTCCAACATCAGAATTATAGGGGTACTGGAAGAGGAAGAGCAACAAGTGGAAGAGTTATTTGAACAAATAATAAGGGAGAACTTACACATCCTGGCAAAGGAAATAGACTTGCAGGAAGCTCAGAGAGTCCCAAAGAAGTTGGACCCAAGGAGGAACACACCAAGGCACATCATAATTACATTTGCCAAGATTAAAATGAAGGAGAGAATTCTAGAAGCAGCAAGAGAAGAGGAGACCATTATCTACAAAGGAGTTCTCACCAGACTGTCAGCGGATTTCTCAAAAGAGACCTTATAGGCAAGAAGGGGCTGGAAAGAAGTACTCCAAGTCAGGAAATCCAAAGACCTACAACCAAGATTGCTCTATCCAGCAAAGCTTTCATTTAGAATGGAAGGACAGATAAAGTGCTTCTCAGATAAGGTGAAGTTGAAGGAGTTCATCATCACCAGGCCCTTATTATATGAAATGTTAAAGGGACTTACCTAAGAAAAAAAAAAGATAAAAAAACATGTATGTTTTTAGTAAAATGACAGCAAACTCATAATTGCTAACAACTACACCTAAAACAAAAACAAAAACAAACTATGCAAACAACTAGAACAGGAACAGAACCACAGAAATGGAGATCACATGGAGGGTTAGCAATAGGGGAGTGGGAGGAGGAGAGAGGGGGAAAAGGTACAGAGAATAAGTAGCATAGATGGTAGGTAGAAAATAGACAGGGGGAGAGGTAAGAATAGTATGGGAAATGTAGAAGCTAAAGAACTTGTCAGTATGACACAAGGACATGAACTAAAGGGGGGATGTTGGTGGGAGAGGGTGTGCAGAATAGACAGGAGTGAAGAGGGAAAATGGGACAACTGTAATAGCATAATCAATAAAATATATTTTTTTTAAAGTTAAAAAGATAAAAAACATCTGTAAAGGAATTTGGACAACATGCAGAACTTGGGCTATCTGAGTGAAACCTTAACCTAGTCCATGTGCCAGAAAATATTTGGATCTATAATTTTTTTGAATTTCATATACTCATACTGTCTGTGTGTTTATATGTGTCTATGTATGTCTGTTATACATATGGTTTATTTCTACTGCTAGACAGTATTGCCAAAATTGATTTGTAAATTCAAATTTAGACTGTAAAGTGGCCCTATTCAATTGGCTTAAAATAAATCAGTGCTCATACAAATTGGAGAAAAAGCAGAAACTAACACAAATGTATTTCAAGTGCATGTGATTTGGGATTAATCTTTAGTAAATAAAAATTAGCTAAAGGATGTTGGTTTAATAAAGACATGGACTCATCCACTGCTCTCTAGCTTTGGAGCTTGCAGACCAGATGGGGAACCGGCATAATAAGTTTGGAGACTTAACGTATCATTTCACAAGAATAGAAGGGTGCAAGATGCCTCAGTTTAAGGTCCAAACACTTGTGATAAAGTATGAAAATGATTGCATATAGAGAATAAGATGTGTGTTTGGTAAAATATGATATGAGACATGGAAATACATTTTTGAATATATTTTATTTTTAAAATATATTTTATTAATTATGCTGTTACAGTTGCCCCATTCCCCCCTCCTTTATTCTCCTCTGCCCTGCAACCTGCTACTACCCTCATTCCCTCCCATCCCCGCTTCCTGCCCCGCTTAGTTCATGTCCATGGGTCATACCTACAAGTTCTTGGGCTTCTCCATTTCCTATAGTATTCTTAATCTCCCCCTGTCTATTTTCTACTTACCATTTATGCTTCTTATTTCCTTAATTTTTCCCCCATTCTCCCCTCTCCCCATCCCTTCTGATAACCCCCCATGTGATCTCCATTCCTGTGATTCTGTTCCTGTTCTGGTTGTTTGCTTAGTTTGTTTTTGTTTCTGTTTTTTAGGTTCAGTTGTTGAGAGTTTTGAGTTTGTTGTCATTTTACTGTTCATATTTTTAATCATCTTCTTTTTCATAGATAAGTCCCTTTAACATCTTCTATAATAAGGACTTGGTGATGATGAACTCCTTTAACTTGACCTTCTCTGGAAAGTACTTTATCCACCCTTCCATTCTAAATGATAACTTTGCTGGATAAAGCAATCTTGGATGTAGGTCCTTGACTTTCATGACTTGGAATACTTTTTTCCATCCCCTTCCTGCCTGGAAGGTCTCTTTTGAGAAATCAGCTGACAGTCTGGTGGGAACTCCTTTGTAGATAATGGTCTCCTCTTCTCTTGCTGCTTCTAGGATTCTCTCCTTCATTTTAATCTTGGCAAATATAATTATGATGTGCCTTGGTGTGTTCCTCCTTGGGTCCAACTTCTTTGGGACTCTCTGAGCTTCCTGGACTTCCTGCAAGTCTATTTCCTTTGCCAGAATGGGGAAGTTCTCCTTTATTATTTGATCAAATAACTTTTCCACTTGTTGCTCTTCCTCTTCTCCTTTTGGCACCCCTATGATTCAGATGTTGGAAACATCTGATTTATAAAGGTGTCCTAAGCCTCTCTTCATTTTTTTCAATTCTTATTTCTTCATTCTTTTCTGTTTGGTTGTTTCTTTCTTCCTTCTGGTCCACACCATTGATTTGAGTTCCAGTTTCCTTCCCATCACTATTGGTTCCTGTACATTTTCCTTTATTTCACTTAGTGCAGCCTTCATTTTTTCATCTAATTTTTGACCAAATTCAACCAATTCTGTGAGCATCCTGATCACCAGTGCTTTGATCTGTCCGTCTGATAGGTCAGCTATTTCTTCTTCATTTAGTTATATTTTTTCTGGAGATTTGATCTTTTCTTCTGTTTGGGCCATTTTTTTTGTCTTGATGCACAAGTTACGTAGTGAGGGGTGGAGTCTTAGGTGTTCACCAGGGTGCGGTAACCCACATTGCTGTGTTGTGACGCTGTATGTAGGGTAGGGGTCTGAGAGGGAACAATGGCTCTTGCTCAGCTCTCTGCCAGATTTCAGTCACTTCCCACCCTTTCCCCAAGCAAATTGGGCCCTTCTGGTGCTGATTCCTGTGTGGGTGGATTTGTGTACACTTTAGGACCTTGTGGGTCTCTCCAACAAACTCTCCTGTGAGGCTGGTTGTCTCTCCTGGCACCTCAACCCACACAGGTATTTTCAATTAGTGTTTTGAGGCTTTATTTTCCCACACTGGAGCCCTGGGTTGCTCTGTCTGTCTTGCTCCCCAGTTTTGCCTGGTCTATCTGCATGCAAATGTGGGACCACCGGGTCCGCCAGCTGTCTTTCGCACCAAGCCCCTCCACAGTCCACCACCCCGCTGGGTCCACCTGCCACCTCCTTGCACACTGTGGTCTGCCAGCTACTTTTTTTCCCCAAAACCTTTTCCACCCCTCTTACCAGTCTGGATGAATGTGTATTCTTTTACTACTTGGTTGTGGGACTTCCATACAGTTCAATTTTTTTCCATACAATTCTGTCAGTACTGGTTGGTATTTTGTTTTTAAATATTTGTTGTCTTTATTTTGGTTGTGGGAGGAGGCACAGTGTGTCTACTGACGCCTCCATCTTGGCTGAAAGTCCCCTTTACAGATGTTTTTAAAATTAAAGAATGCATTCTGTTGTCTCTGAGAGGTTTCAATATCTCTTCTTTAAAGTTCCTTCTTCAGGTGGGCTTACCAACAAACACAAACATCAAATAGAAGGCAAGAGTGCCCTGTAAAGTTGGAAAGCTCAAAAAGTTAAGGCCTGAGTTTTGAAAGAAGGAGATTTTCCTGGAGAGGAAGATTAAAAGATGGCTTCCAAGGTGAAGCCTGAGGCTCCAATGGTGGCTGCCTGCCTAGAGACAAAGGTGGGGCGGGAAAGGAAAGGTGCGAGGGCAGGCAGTTGCTGTCAGTGAGGGGGCGCTGGTAGGGGATCTTCTGAAGTCTTGATTAGCAAACCCAGCTTCAGAGCTGCAAATCCACCAGTCAGAGGGCAAGTTTTCCTGTGACCCCCCCCTTTTGTTTCAGTTTCCTTGGCACCAGGGTCCTTTTTAATTTATCAAGGCATTTACCCAATTTTAGAATTATTTTTTTCTAGGGGAGGCAATAATAGTCTCTTGATTTTATTTATAGCGCTCAAATCACTAGTTTAACATAAAAAGCTCCCACTGTTTCTAGGAGTATGGTGTTTTCTTTGTTTTAATTGAGCACGCAAATAAACAAGCTTTGGGGTTTCAAAGAAACCCCATTTGGGGCAAAAAAGAAAAAAAACCTTGAGATCATCTTGTGTGATTATTGTCCACAGGCCTAGTTAATTAAATTCTCTGGACCATGATTATGGTTCATATAATCAACCAAAGTCTCAGACACTCACCGATTAGTGTGTGAAAATTTAGAGCATGGCTTACCCATTTTGTACTCCTCCTTATGAAAGCATCCTGTTGAGGGCCTGTTAGTGTGATTGTCCTCACAAATCTTATGGGCAAGTCCTAGTCCCCAGCCTAGACCTGGAGCATAGCTTTGCTGCTACCGAAAGCAACCAGGCAATAACCTTCCTAGGTACCAAACGCTACTGAGAAAAGCCCTCCGTGGGGGATGCTCTCTCAGTGCCAAGTACGACTGAGGGATACCTCTCCTCAGCACCAAAGCCAAATCATATGGAGGGGCCCTCTCTGTCTAAACTCATGAACCAAGGTCACCGGATCAGGGTCCCTTACCTTAACTGAATAAAGTCTTGGACCTCATCCATAAGAAGAGAGGCCTTGGATCCCAGAGACTTACCTGAGACACTCAGGTACAGCTGGGAAGACAATTGGAGCACAAGGGGTGTGTGCAAGTCCAGATAGGTTGGTTTCAGGACAGTGGCAGAAAATCGAGTGATCACTTCAGAGCCCCACTCTGGGTGTCCTGGACTGTCAGCTGATGTTCATTGGCACCAACTCAACACCAACAGGAATGCCCAGTTGGGTGCAGTGAAGAAAACTTTCTTCAGTGCAAACAGCTCAGCTGTCATACAGCACATCTGTGATAACAGCACGGCAGTTGGATGGCTCTGGAGTGTTACAGCTCAATTATGAAGCTGCCCAGCATGACCATGAAGGAGCCATGGCTACACCCCTCTCCCTGTGCACAGCTCTACTCTGCTCTCCCTACTTAGGTCTGGACCAGTCTGCTCTACTCTGCCCTGCTCCTCTCTGCTCCAGTGAGACGTGTTCGGGGTTTCGTCTTTGGTGTGTCAGCTCCAGCCAGAAGACAGTCTTCTGTGGAAAGGGACAGTACACGCCCCAAGCCAGAAGGAACCAGACTTGTAGATAAGGATAACTTCCTGGAGGAGGGAGGTGCTGCTGATGCTCATCTTGTCCATAAGGCCTTATCCTGCCCCTGAAACTTTTGCAAATGCAGACTCCAACTCCTACTTTTAATAAATAAACATTGTCCCTTCCATTGACAAATAGGTCTTGGGAAGATTTGTGAGGGAGACTTGGGGGTCATGCCCTCTCTCCTGGATTTCAGGGGTTACCAGAAAAAGCCTCCAATATGGTTCTTCATCTAGAGCAGAAAGAGCTGGCCCAGGGACCCTGAAGTCCCAGTTGCATCCCCACTGGTGATGATGAGGTTGCACTGCCCACCTGGACACTCACTCACGCCTGATGGTCTTGGCCTTGAGTGTTGTGCAGGCCAACTAGGACTGGGGCTCCAGCTGGCAGGACAGGGTGTAACTACAGGACAGAGCAGCACCTGAGAGCTCCTGGGAGCCACACCTCAGGTGTCCTGCCCAGTGTCAGGGGCCCCAGGAGATGCTACACCACAAGGTCTGAGGCTGAGCAGGGAGCCACGGACACAGGTTCTCTGGACTGGCAGGCAGGGAGAGTCCACCCCTGCCCTCGCCCACGTCCTGCCCAGCCTCACCTCCCCTTCTCGCTGAGCCGCTCCAGGGCCCAGAACCAGGCCCTGAATTGCTCCTCGGGCTCTATGCTGTAGAGTTGAGCAGCCTGCTGCAGGAGCACTATCTCCTCCAACACTTTGAGTTCCTGGGGCCCGAGGGAGGGGGAGGATGCAGACACCATCAGAGCAGGGGTGAGGGTGGGGCAGGGGTCTGGTCCTGGGCCTTTGCACACATAGTGCCCTCCTCCCCCTAATTGCACCCAGGCCCTACCTGTGCTCACACATGGGCATAACCTCCTGCTGGAAGTTATCCTTGATGCCCTCCTCCCACCCACAGCCACCAACTGGAAAGGTCTCCCACTTCCACTATTCAATTCTCCCAGGAAATGCCAGATGTGGGGATGGAGCCCAGCAGTGTGCTGACCAGGGTGGCTCTGACTGCCTCTTCCCTCCCCTGCCCCCCAGGGAGTGTCATAGCTGCTCACCTTCCTCTTCTTTGCTGCATATTTCACATGACCCTGCAAGGCAGACGGCCAAAGTTCATCAGAAAGAGTCCCCAGGCCATGACCGCCCCCATGCCACACTTTCTCAGGTGAAACTAGGTCAAGTCCAGGGAGGAGCAGGGACACACACAGACACAGGATTAGGACTCAGGACAGGCTCTGGGCTCCAGGGGAGGGGGACACGGTCCCTACGATGGGCATGCTGCCCCGCTCCCGGGGGTGGCTGCACACTCAGGACTCAGGACTGAGGCCGGGCACTCTCCTCCCAGATATCACTCCTGGTCACCCCAGACCAGGCCCCAGGCACAAACCTCAGGGTAGTCTTGTATGGCAGAGTGCAGCATCCCAAGGTCACTGACATATATTCCAAGGAAGGGAACACACTGGGCAATGGGGGTGAGAGGGCATGAGCTCCTGCTGTCAGGTGCCCCCACTCACCTTCCCTGACAGGCTGACTGCATTAGCCTCCTGGCCCACCCCCAGCTTTCCACAAACAAGAACCCATGACCAATTGGGCCTCCCCTCAATCCCCCTTCCCTCACTCTCCAACAACACCGGGCTGCTCTTAATCCAACCTCAGGACCCACTTTGGGAAAATCACAGGGTCTGTGGCCCCAGGCCCACCCCCAGGGCCAGCCTGCACCCATCTCTTCCGGGCCCTCCTTCTGGTCACTGCTAATGGAAGGTTTCAGGGTCTGTGGGAGCAGGAGGCGGGGCTGCAGGAGAAAGGCCTCCTCCTTTGACCTGGGGGCCTCCAGCTGGGAGGGCAGAGCCCCCTCTCCTCTGACCCCTTGGCACCTCCAGATGGGCTCACTCACTTTCTTCTGCGGCTTCTTCAGAGCTCCCCGGAGGTTCATCAGCAGAGTGGCAAACCTGGAGGGCCGCTTCTGCCAAGGTTCAGGACAGCGTCACTGAGGCCAACTGCCCTCACCCCATGGCACCCCAAAACTCTTGACCTCAGACCCTGAACAACTGACCCGAGTCGGCTGGTACTGATGCTGCTCTGGCCCCAGCACGCTCTGATTCCAGAACACTCCCAGACACAACACTCACTCCTGTGGGACCTGGGGCCTGGCCTCCCTGAGCCCATTCCAACCTCTGCAAAGTGTGAGAGCTCCACCTGGCTCAGGGGCTCTCTTGGGGACTCGGGGTCATGTTCCTGTCAGTGTTGTTCTCGCCCTCTGCCCTGCAGACAGAACGGGTCAGAGAGCTCTGCACAGTCCTTTCCTGCCCTGACCCTGGTGAGCACCCTGTGAGGCCTGCAGCCCAGGACGGTCACCCCCCATTTCACTGCCTAGGAGGCAGGGACCAACAGGGGTGGTGACTGCCTCAGAGGCCCACAGAGGAGAGGCCTCCCTGTCCCTCCCAGCAGAGGCCTTGTCCCACCTGCCCTCACCTCAGCCCCAGCCTCCCTGCCGACCAGAGCCCTGTCCTCAGGGCTCTCAGGTTGTGCCCAAGCCCCCATCTGGGCCACGCCTGGGATGCACAGGGGTCTCGGGAGCCTGGGTGAGCACATCCTGCCCCACCTCACGGGGTCTGTGCCCACCAGGCTGCAACCGAGGTCACACTGGCCTCCACCTCCCCAGGGAGCCCCGGACCTTCCCCTGCACAGCAGTCTTTCTGCATCCACTCAGGAATGGCGCCCTGAAGGTCTCCCAAGTGTCTGGCAGGGCAGGGGGTTACAGGACACTTGGACTCATCCTTGACAGGAAGCTTCTGAGGTCTGTTCAGGAAGGGTCCACTGAGAAGCCGTCAGTGCCCCCGACATCTCTCAGAAGCCATCTGGTCTGTGTTGCCACCCCCTGGACACTGGGGGAGAACCCTGACTCTGACTGACTAGCAGTGAGAGCTCTAGGGGCAGAGCAGGGAGTCACCAAGGACACTGCTCTCTGTCTCTGGTCCTGCAGTCGGGACTGAGGCTGAGCAGCCCTTTGGTTCGCCTGGCAGGTTGGAATCCCCCAAAGTGCCCCTCCCCAGGGCAGGCGGGGTGCCCTCCTCTTGGAGATTTGGTGCAGACTGAGGGGCACCAGGGGTGTGGCTTCCTGATGACGTACTGGGCTGGTTTAGGGAACCAGGTACCCCATCCACCCATTCACCCAACAGCCTGGAAGAAGCCAAGTGCCAGTGGATGGGCCGGCATGGAAGCCAGAGACCCGCTCAATCTGCTGGGTCAGCACCTTTGTGCTGGAGCTGCCCAGGCACCACCAATTTATGCTGTGACCCAGGTCTCTTGCCCCTTGAACTGCCCCCACCTGCCCATGGACCAAACAGCTCCCTCTTCCTGCTAATCAGATGCATAGGGTGACCACTTTCAGAGGATCTTGAAGTGACAAAGTAGCAAAGCCTCACCCCGCACAGTCCACCCCCTCACACCCTGCTCTCTTCCCACACCTCCAGACTGGGCTCTGTGTTCCTGAGCTGCTTGGTGGTCATTCCATCCACGTCTTGAAATAGTTTTCTCAGCACAGCTGAGCTCCTCCTGAGGGTGTGGGAGAGGGAAAGACAGGTTTAGGAAGACTGGGGGGGGGGGGAGTTACAGGCAACTCCTTTGGACAATGGAAGGTTTCACACTGCTCTGGTGAGGGTCCTGTGAGCAGGGAGGTCTTTGTGGGACTGGGGTGGGCCCCCCTATTGGCCATCTGGGCCTCCATCCCCATTTCTACTGGGCAGCTCAGCTTTGACAAGGTTTGGGTTCAACTGGGCACAGGATCGTGTTGCTAGAAAGGCTTGACAATCTCCAGTTGGTTCATGCTGTTCCTGGCATTTAAGGAAACACATTCCTGAAGCAGAGCTGGTGGCCTGAGGTGCCAGGGAAGCTTAGAGACATCATCCAACCCCACAGTCTGTGTCAGCAGGCTGGGCTGCCTCCCGGGAGGTGCCAGCTGCTGAGGGGACACTGGGAGACACCTCAGGGTCCATCCTCTAGTGGGGAGAGGCCTACTCACCGGGAAACTTTCTCCCAGGTGTTCTCTAACCTATGGAGTGGCACGCTCCTGAAGGCCGATATTATTCTGTGCAAGGAAGCCATATTTTTCAGGGTCTTGCACTTCTGGGGAGGGAAGAGATGAGCTGTGAGCTGGGGAGCTGAATTCCTCCCTTCAGTGCCCTCCAGGGACAGCGCTGCTGGGTGGGCCAGATGCTCAGGGGGCACCTTTAGGACCCAAAGGCCAACACTCCCTGAGAGGAGGGTCTTAGCTCAGCCCAAGGAAGGAGCCAGCTAGGAAGTGAGCCCCCCAGCACTGGGACCTGAGACCCAAGGTCAGCCTGCCCCTGGCACAAAGGACCTAGGAAGTGTGCGAGGCCTCAGACCTCAGACCTCAATCCTGAGAGCTGATTAAGCAGGAGGGGCACTCTCCTGGGCTGCCCATCACATACCTGGGCCACCTTAATCCAGTGCTCCACCACTTTGGCCCTGTCTCTGGCCTTCATGCCTGGGTCCCCGAGGCAGGTGGTGGTCACACAGGCGACCAGAGAGTTATACTGTGTGACGGTGGCGCTGACAGTGCGTGCCCGGGGCTGCCTGCCGGGCTTGTTCAGCGGCCAGACTGAGCCCAGGCACTGGTGGAATAGCACCTGCTTGAACAGCTCCTGGGAAGAAAGGAGAGTGTCACCCAGACCTGCCACATGCCAGCTCAGTGTCCCCAATCCCCTGCAGTACCAGGCAGGTGTCACTGGTCAGATCTAGAGCTATGGAAGCTGAGGGTGCAGCCTGAGCCTTGTAGGAGCCTTTGCAATTTATTCTCTGTCCATCAAGGGCACCCATCGGTTGATGACCCAGGACAGAAGGCTGGTGGGAGACAGGAGCATCTTCCCTAGCCCAACCTCAGTAACTCCAGGCTCCAGGATACAGCTCAAGTCTGCTCATCCCAAGGGGGCATCTTCCGGGATCCTGATCATCTGTCTCTTCTGAATCCCCACTCAGTGCACATTCCCCTGTGCCAGCTACAACCACGGGCTTGGTTTGTTTGTCTTCCTTGTGATTAAGTACACATCAGGTGCCTAATAAGT